ACCCCCCGCCCCTACCCTGTGACCTCGGTTGATGAAATGCGTGGAAACCAGGAGAGCACATTTCAACGAGGGGGACACCCCCCTTGACCCAACCAGGTCTCCGTAATTCCTGCCAGATCCGCTTCCCCCTCCTGAACTAGATCACAAATGAGGGGGGCTTTATTTACCACAGACCGGGCATTGCATAGCATCAGCCGAAGGCCCAGGGCCTGAGGGTCTGTGCAACCTGGGGAACGAGAGGAGCATTGGAGGCCGGAGTGCGCCACCGCTCGAAGACAGCGAGCGCACACTCCAATAACATGATATGGCCCCCTGCTCCTGCCATATCTGCCCCTCCCACCCACAGTACTGATATAATATCCATCAACAACACAAGCTCTAACCCCCTCCTTGACCCCGAGTCCCGCACCTCCCATACCGTACTCTTCAGCCGGACCAGGCCTCCTCCCCCGCAGATTCTTCCCCAAACCCACACAACCCACCTCCTCCCTGAGCCCTTTAAAATCCTATCTAAAAACTTCCCCCCAAAACCCCACAAGCCCCTCTTCACACCATGCCACCTCTCAGGATTCCAAAATCCGTCATCAAGGTAGGCCCTCGATAGTGAGGAGGGCCAAACCTGCAAAAGGGGGGAGTCTTGCAGCGCAAGAAGGTCAGCAGCCGTAAACATCACAAAAAACAGAGAACAGGAAGATAAACAATATTATTTGATATGGGAGCTATTTTATCAATGGGTAGATAATAAAGAATGGAGATGAATTATTACATATGAAATGAAATTTGGATAAAATGTGTAAACATTTGTTTTTAATTAGATGAAGAACATTTGTCACAATTGAAATTTTGAAAATGTTGAGAGCACGAAATGATTTTAACCGATCAAAACACTGTCTTAAGTATATGGAAAGATGATGTTTATTATGTTGTTTTTGTTCAAAAATAAAAAACTTTTCTAAAAAAAAAAGAAGCTGGTCCCACTGAATTCAGCAGGACATCTGCCAAGTTCTGTGTGTATATATAAGTGTAGCTCTTCTTCTGGGAAAGAAAAATCCCTACACAGTCCCTTGAGTTGCTGAGTAAATCAGCAGCTGAGGATAAATCATTTGACTCAGTAGATGGGCCCAAGGGACAGCTCATTAACTGTTTTATTTTAACTCAGCTGAGAGGGAAAAGATGGCACTGATTGAGGATGACAACTTTAGCAAAGGAATGCTGGGGAAGACTCTCTTGAACCTGGCAGAGAAATCCCCTGAACCAAAAGGAAGGAGACAGTGAATGCATGGGATAGAGTTTTTGTAGGGCCACACAACATCTGCAAAAGGACTGCAGAGTTGATACACTAGTTATCGGCATCACTGCTGTAATGAGCAAGTGGCAAAACACTGTGAAGATGAGAATGCAAGAAACTTGAAATTCATTACTGTGGAAGAAAAGAAGAAAACCTGAGATTTATGGAGATTGATTTCCATAAAGCAACAATAGCTAAAATGAATGGAATTTGCTTCTGGAATCAAATGCCTGCTCAGAAAAAGAACCCCCAATCCTAAACTGAATAGATTTTTGAAAAGAAAAAGTTTAAATCGGTTTCTCCATCTGACATTCATACACTCTGCAAACTTCTTATTGCATGGATGCAAATGAAGTAATAGGAATAAAACCCAAGAAACAATAATTTTGGGGAAAGTATCATGTATTTATTGATATTAATCCATAGGTAAATTTCCCAAGAGTGTCAGGGAGTTTAGCATAGGAAAATAAAAGGGGGAAAAAGAGTGGAATTTAATGTTTGCAAGGCTTCCTTGTAAGAAAGTAACTTTCACTAAGAAGACTTAACCCATAGGTCACTGTTGTCCTAAGCAAAAAAACCTTAGGACTGTGGTCAGAGACACCTTGGCTATCATCAAGGTCTGGAAAGGCTTCAATCCAGACTACAGGTTACCACCATCCTTCAGTTCCCTTGCTGTTGTACCCTCCCAACTTTCTCTTCTAGAAAAAGAGATGGATATGGATATATATCTAAATTTAAATCTAAATCACATGCATATAAACAAAGTTAAAAGCATTAAAATATAATATATGCAAGTACAACAACTACCTTTTACAACCTATACACCCACAGACATAGTACATACATAAACATGTATGCATATATACATACATATTGCGTCCCATTTTCCTAACTTTTCTTCCAGAAAATCTGTTGAAATTTCTTATACAATGTAGTAGGTCTTTCTGAATGGTATGGTGGTTGTACTATTTGATTGGCATGCTTAATGAACCTGGTCCAAAACCTAAAAGAAGGGTTTTTTTTACCATTCTTATTTCTCTATGCTATTTGTTAAGGATATTATTGAGTTACACCCAAAGTTGTGGCTTATGAAGCAGACTACTGTTAGAGTTTTATGCACGGAAACGGTTTGAGAGTAATTGTGAATAACATACAGACAAACTGGGTTTTATAGTATTTTACTTTTAGGGAAAAGCAAAAATCATACTCCTTTAACAATCCAAGTCTTAGCCATATAAAGTGCAATATAAAATCAATCCAGAGATATAAAATCTTACCAGTTTGTAGAAAAATACAAGGAACAATCAGGAACAATATAAAAGCAGTTCAATAAATATCAGAAAGCAGTAATCATGATCAAACAGTTGACCATAGAGAGATCAAAAAGAGTTACAGCGTAGCAGCAGGTAAAAATGGTGTAGTGTTCCCAACTAACCATACTTTAGCTCTCCTTAAATATATTGACTACAGAGCTCAGCCAATCAGGATGCACAATGACTCAGCACAGTTCTTAAAGCTACATAATATATTCACATAATACAAACATACAATGTTGGCTTATATATTTCCTGGCCAACCAATTAGGCAATAACCATTTCCTAACACTATTTCTTTTCCTTTCCTTTTGTGGCCCTAGCCAAGCTACAAGGACATCAGTAGGATACATTCTGTAGCATTGAGCCATATGTTCTCTGTAGTATAAATAAGATTATCTGGCATTCTCTTCTCCAGGTGCTGCCTAAAACCTGAAGGGCTGTAGGATGGTTGTGTGATGCTCCTTCAGTTCATAGCTGTAGATGATTAGACAAGAAAACTTGTTATCTTTTTCCCCTCCTTTTGGATCTGCATGTGTGTGGTATTGTAAATAAAACATGGGTGTCAATCAATTGCTCTATCTTTCTTACTTCAATGATGCGGACACCAGTCTGTGGATCATATTAGCTATTATGTTGTTATTGATAATAATTAGCCCCCTTTGAATGGGGATTGCTTCTTTAAGGGCACAGGATTTGGATTTTTACCTGACTGGTATGGGGGTCTTTAACTTTTCACCCCAAATTCTCTGCCCTACATAAAAAGCTCCTGTGGCATTTTGGGTAACCTTCATATACCTCCTACCAGGTACTCTGGAACTAAAGCTTATCATCTTGGGTTTCAGACACAGCTACCTAATCTATTGCATTATATTCTACAGTGCAAAAAACTATTCTTTCTGAAACATTTTCCAAGATAGGAAAAAAAAAAAAAAACCATTTCTTTAAACAATTTTTTCTACCTTATAAAAATCAATCTCCATCTATGCACAGGCAGTGGTGGGATTCTGTCGGTTCTAGGCAGTTCGGCCGAACCCTTTGTTAAATTGCTGGCTTGCCCCGCCCCTTGCCCCTTGCCCCACCCCTTTGCACCACTGGGCGAGGGGTGGGCGACCCAGCAATTTAACAAACGGTTCGGTGTTTTTTTTATAATTTTATTGGCCTCGCAGCTGCTGCGGGGCTTCAAAGGGCCACCCTACAGCTGATCAGTGTTAAAAGAACACAAATGAGTAGACCAATGCCTGCAAAAATAAATGGGTAGACCCAGTGGTGGGATTCTACTTCGGTAGAACTGGTTGTTAAGTAGTTAAGTAGTTAAGCCAGTGGTTGCCAAAGTGGGCAGTACTGCCCCCTGGGGATGGTGGAATGCCTTAGGGGGCGGTAAGAGGCAAGGGTGGTGGTGGTGGTGGGGCTAAGTGGCAAGGACGGTGGCTCCCACCCTTTGGCTGTGCCTCGCAGCACTTACCTCTTTGCAAGCAATCAGCAAGAAAAAACAGCCCCTTCAGCTTTAGCATCGGTTAATTAGCACAAGTTGATTAGATCGGCCTCCCGACTCTCAGCTGATTTGCTCTCACCTGTTTTGCCAGGGCTCTGTTGCTATCTGCAAAGAGTGCTGGAGCACATTTTTTCCCCCTAGTTATGCTGAAAAAGCGAAACTGAAAGTAAAGCAGGGTCTTTGCTGCAAGATGACAAAATGAGGCAGAGAGAGATTTCTTTTTCCTCACCAAAAAAGGTAGGTGCAAAACTGCAAACAATGGGAAATTTAGGGCAAAAGAGGAGAGTTCAAGATTTTAAAACACAAAAGAAAAAAAGCTCTATTTAACTAGGGAATTGTACTAATTGAGACACTATTAATTGTATATTGTGTTGAAAGCAGAAATGGTTAAGTTGTGGTTTGGAGGAATATATGGGGGAAATTATTTGGTTTATTATTATTGCTAAATATAATTAATTGATTTGTAAGAAATTGGATTGCATGGAAATAATTGGAATATTCATGTTCATATTGATTAATATACAAAAAATAGTTATATAACTAATTGATTTATATTAAAATGTTGAATTTGTATTTAAACAACTGTATTACATAATTACATAATTAATCAATGTGAGGATGGATATAAAAATAGATGACAATGGGAAGGGGTATAATATAGAATAGAAAGGAAAAATTGAATTTGATTAAGATTAGAGATGAGGATGGGGTAATATTGGTTTTTTTTAAAAAAATAGATGAGGAATAAATATGGCAAAAAGGAAATATAGAAATTGTAAATTTAATTGAAATGACTAAACACTGTTTAAACTTGTGAACCGGCCAAATACTCTGTTCAAAGAAAATACATTGTATGTTTGTATGTGTGTTTCTAATTATTAATATTTATTCATGTTTGTTCTCTTTTATTCTTTAAAGTTTAACAATTCATTCTTTATCTTAATATCTTTATATTTCTTTGCGGTTGGCTTTCTTCCCTTTCATCTTTTTTATTGTACAGCAATCTTTCTCCTCAAACCTACCACCTCTCTCTCTTTTCTTTCCTTCTTACTTTCTCTTCCCCCCCTCTTCTTGTCCTCCCTACTTCCTCTTCCTCTTTCTTTCTCCTTCTCCTCCACTCTTCCTTCCTCTCTTACCCTCACTCCTACTCTAATTTCCCTTCCCTTCCTTCATCCCTCTCTATTGCTGTATCCTTTTATGCATATGGACTACTCAGAGGGCTGAAAAAGTTATTTTTGACTGGTCCTTGCACTTTTGACCAGTCATCGAACTTACGACTGTCCTCACACAAAAACGTAAAAAACATTTTACGTTTTTGTCCTATCTTGTCACCATAGTGAAGAGAAGCAGTTGTGAAATGAGTGAGATGGTTGTTAAGAATGCTACAATGGGCATAAATGATGACCAGTCATAAGTGCGAAGACCGGTCACAAGTGTGAGGACCTGTCAAAAATCACTTTTTTCAGCCCTCTGGGTAGTCCCTATGCAGATAGCCACACCCACCCGGTCACATGACCAGCTAGCCACGCCCACCCGGTCACATGACCAGCTAGCCAGGCCCACCCGGTCACATGACCAGCTAGCCAGGCCCACCTAGTCACATGACCACCAAGCCACATCCCCAACTAAGCCATGCCCACAGAACCGGTTGTTAAAAAAATTGAATCCCACCACTGTGCACAGGTTTTAAAATATGCTTTATTGGCAGCCTGAATCCCCCTTTAATAAAAATGCCTGAGCACTTGCTATAAATAGATGTGAGATGAGCTGCATTCACCTGTTGCTTGGCTTTTGCAGATAATCACACTGTCAGGAAAAGTTTAGCTAAAAGATTCTGCAAAGCTCTGCTAAAGGACTATTGTTTCAGCCTTAGTCAATGAACACTAAACCATAATCATCATGCTTCAGTGAGAATTAATTCAGGCTATATCCATAAGAGATTCTTTCTATTTTGGGAAGCTATTTATATTTTTTTATATTGACATTCTCCATTTGCCAAACAATGTGATAAATAACCCAGTAATTTATTCACTTCCCCTGCCCCAATTATAACTTGCAATCAAATATCACAAAGTTTGTTTCTAAGCTGTTTTAGGAAGATGTTGGCTTAAGTTTGCTTTTTCTTTTTTTTAAAAAAACATTTTTTTCTGTAACTGAACCTAAGTGGCTGTGGTTTAGCAGTAATAACAGGAATGAGTAAAGTAGATATTCTTGAAGGACAGGGGAAAGCTTTAGGTCTTCATGGCTTCAGTCTTTTAGGCCGGTGACTATCTTGTAAGGGTGACAGTGCCTCTATATGTTCATCCCACCTGCATGGCAACACTAAGCCACCCAAAAGCTGTTGATCTGATGATTTTGGATCAGAGCTTCTGTTCTGGCACTTTCTGTAAAGAGACAGAGTCAAAAGATGCTTGCTAGGGAACTGTCAGATAAGAGATTGCATAACCCACAACTGGATAGTAGGTGGGCAAGAGGCTCAGAAGAGACCTTCACTAATGCCTCAGGCTGTAAAGGAGATGGTGAGAGAATTGTACTTTAAGACGTGCAAGATATGAAGTATTACAATAATGTTGAATGAACTCATCTGGTTGTGTTTCCTGTCTGGTGTACCTAGGAAAGCTGAGATCAATCTTGCAAGTCTGAAAGGTCTCCCAAGCAGTGGTGGGTTTCAAAAATTTTTACTACTGGTTCTGTGGGTGTGGCTCGGTGGGTGTGGCATGGCTTGGTGGGCATGGCAGGGGAAAGATACTGTAAAATCTCCATTCCCTCCCCAGTCCAGAGGAAGGTAACTGAAAAATCCCCATTTCCTCCTGATCAGCTGGGACTTGGGAGGCAGAGAATAGATGGGGGCAGGGCCAATCAGAATTTTTACTACCGGTTCTCCGAACTACTCAAAATTTTCGCTACCGGTTCTCCGGAACTGGTCAGAACCTGCTGAAACCCACCTCTGCTCCCAAGGTCTTTCCCACATACCATTATACTTTCCTTGTCCTGGAACTTTTAGATGTGTTTCTATAACATGGAATTCTGAAGAAGGTAAATAGAGAATTTTGGAGGGGAAAAAATCCTTCTGTTTCTCTTGCATTTAGGAGGTTGCATAAGAACTCGGAAGGATTAAATGCGTCTTCTACACTTCACCCATGAAGAGGAAACCTCAATATCAGCATGAAAATAGCAGCACCAGCTTGTTTCCCCCCTGAAATTCCATAAACCGGACCTTTACTCTATAATTCCATAAACCGGACACTCCACTCTAAGTGGTAATGCCCTCTTGTCATAAATTAACCATGGGTAAATATATCTTAAAGCTTCAGGCTGTGTTTTCATGAGATGTTTACCCATGCTTAACTAAGCCACAGTTCTGCTCAAAATTGAATTAACTCACGTTTTCTAACTCTGCACAATATAGACAATATACTTTAGCTAAATTGTGGTTAGGCAGTCTCGTTGAAGATATATTATGAACACAGCCCCAAGTTCTAGCTAATGGCTACTATCACTAATTAAATTCTACAGTATGTGTCAGAAGTGGAACCTACTGTTCTCATAACTCATTTAAAGAATGCATCTCTTACTACCTTGCCATTTCTTGTTTGCTTGCTTGCTAAGTAAAAAGTCAATTGACCTGAATCAAAGAAATTCCAGAGAGTAATTATAAAAAGGTTATATGTATATTATTTAGTGTTTTTTTACTTCCCTAGCTACAGAAAATAAGGAACAATTTACATTAAGAAGGGGTATAGAAAGCATCAATTGGCATAACGCTCTAATTGCAGTTCAGACTCTGCATATTAATATTTTAAATTCATAAAATTGCACTAGTAGAATGAAGTTGTCAATCACATGTCTGAGTTGAATATAGCTGGAAAAAATATCCTAGATCCAAGCTTCAAAAAGACTGTGAATAAAGTTAAACCAGCAAACCTGAAGGATAATTCCATCTCTTCTCATTAAAACAGAATGCAAGCCCACATGATACTTTCAAAAATAACTAACAAGATTTGAGTATACTCTTATTTAGAAGTGTTGTGGCCAGTAAAGAACAAACAATTACTTTAAAACATTAAAATGGCACATCTGATTATTTTAAGCTATGCATTATGCAAAGAAGGAAATAAACTGTACATTTCTTATGCTACCAAATTGTTTTAAAGCCTTTTGAAATTACAGAGCTCACTACCCCATCCCATACCATTGAAATAAGCCAAGTATACTTTCTTTCATCTGATTAAACCTCCTCCACTAGTCTTTATAAGCGTAGAAAGATTCCAGCTCTGTTAAAAAAAAAAAAAGCAGAAGCTTTTGGTTAGCAATTCTCTCTGTAGCATCAGCCATTTGAAAACTCCTAGGTTAATATTCAGTCTAGTGTTCTCTGAATAATTTAAGGATCTATTTCCACGATATCTTAAAACAGGCCATATTTACTACAGTTGCAATGCCTGGGGGTCATGTGTTCACCTTTTGCGACACCTGGTGAGCAAAGTCAATGGGGAAGCCACATCCACTTAATGATCCTGTTACTAACTTAACAACTGTAGTTATTTATTTAACAACTGTGGCAAGAAAGGTTGTAAAGTGGGGCAAAATTCACTTAACAACTGTCTCATTCAGCAAGAGAAATTTTGGGCTGTGTACAACTGTGTACAACTGTGGCCGTAGGTCAAGGACTATCTGTACATCAGCATTAAACCAATTCAAGGAAGATTCACCTTTAATGGGAAGAGTTGTGATAAAACAAATGTATTGCATGTTGAGGGTCCAAGACAAGGTCTCTGGCATTTTTATATATTCTTGAGAAATATTCATAAGTGAAACCTTGGAGATTTGATGTGGGCAATATTCAGCTATGTTGACTGATTTGAATAAAAGTTGTTTCCTATATCACTTTAGAATCATAGATCTGTTTAAGTCATCAGATCAAAGCATCTACCACAACTCTCTCTAGTCTCTCCTGTCCAATGAAAGGGAAATTATGAACTCTCTAGATCACGGGTGTCAAAGTTGATAGCGTCATGTGACATCATGTGACATATCATGCTGTTTTTTGCCTTTGTGGAGCCAGGGTGGGCGTGGCCTGTGCGTGATGCATCTGGCCCGCAGGCCACCAATTACCCAGCTCTAGGTAATTGGTTTCATTTTCAGTATGCTTATTATTAGTTTCCCTAATATTTAACCAGACTCTGATTTCCTAAAGATCATTATTCTGTGTCCTATATTCTAGGTCATGACTTTTTTTGAGGGGGCAAGGTGGGGGGATTATACAACCAGTATAATCATTCAATGAACCATTCATTCAATTTTTTTCAAATTAAACACATTTTGTTCTTTCTTTTTTCAACTCATCATTTTATTTAGAGCCAAAGACATCCAGTTCTCTCAATCACTCTTCTGAGGATTTTAGTTCTAAACCCCTGGAAATCCACATGCCAAGAATTCCTCCATAATTCAGATTGCCTCACTTATGTGATCTGCAGTCGTAATCTGGGTGAGGATTGAGGAAGCATCCCAGAGTACCAATTCCACAGGAGAAATATATCATCCAATTATGCTCTTGGTTTTCTTGCAGCATTATAGGTAGTTATCTCCTCCCCTTGCATTGTTTGAGGAGTAGACAAATGTAAATTTATTCAGCTGTTTGATCAGCCAGAGGGCTAACAATTCCCTTCGGTGGTGAAAGGACTGGGAAGTGAGCCAAGTTTTTTTGCATTTGCTTGGGTGCTCTCTTGAGGGAGATTCAGGTTTTGTCTTTCCCAAGCTTTGGCTAACTCTAAATTTGCTTTTTATCTTTTTAAAGTTCCAACTCCTTTCAGGCTTTTCTCTCTTTTCATTAACAGAATGTCCTTCTTCATATTTCCTACATTTTTCTTTCCAGGAGAGTGGTTTGAATTGGTTTTAGAGGTTGCTCACCCCCCCCCCCCTTAGGGTAAACTTTGTTCTTTTCTATGGCTTTTGGTTCTTCTGCTCTCTATTCTTGGTGGTATTTAAAATGGTTGGGGGCAAGAAAACATCTTTTCTTTCACTTTATAGAAGTATTTCCCCACTGCTTACTTTTTAAGAAGAATTCAAGAGATCAGGAGATGACTGATTTTGCATATTTACTTTTGAGAAAAGAAGACTGGGGGAGTAATGTCACATCAAAGAAAGTCAAGACCTATCTTCCATCGTTCCAGATAGCAGGATATGGAAGAATGGATTTAACTCACAGGAAGGCATATTCCAGGGGTGAAATGCTCCCAGTTTGGACTGGCTTGGGTGAGTAGGTAGCGATGGCGGCGGGCAGTTCAGAGAACCGGTAGCAAAAATCCCTGCCCCCACCCCCCCATGCCCAGCTGAGCCACGCGATCATCAGAGACTTTTTTTCTTTTAAATGCCTCTGACAATCCAAGCTCTGACGATCCAAGCTGAGTTGCCTGATCATCAGAGGGTTTTTAAAAAACCTTCTGCCGATCAGGCAACTCAGCTGGGATCGTCAGAGTCTTTTGAAAGCATTTTTTTTACATGGTTTTACATATAAAAAATGGTTTTAAAAGTAAAAAAAAAAAATTGGCCACACCCACCCAGTCACATTACCCCCCTCCACCAAGCCACACCCACAGAACCGGTAGTAACAAATTTTAGATTTCACCACTGGCATATTCCAACTGAATGGTGGAGGGGGGGAGGGGGAGAATTCCTAACAGTAAAAGCAGTTCAACAGCAGAACTGTTAATGTACAAAGATCTAGCCCAATAAATACTCAGAGACAATGGTATATATCGATCATTATTTATTTGTACAACTCTGTTCACTTGTAGGTGGAGTTGAAAAAGAAGAACAGTCTAATGCCCCGTGTATGCCCCTTATATACCATGGAGGCGTGGTCAAAGGTAAGAGGGAGTGGTAATGGAAATAAAAAAGTGGGTGTTAACCTTGACAATATAGAACAAGGGGTGTTATGGATATATTAGGCATTTATATGTGACAAGAACCAACTGGGAAAGGGAAGAGAGGCTCCTTTTCACTGGATATGGTCAAGCAGAGTTAGATAATATTCTCTCCAGGTTGGTTTAATTTGGATACCTGCACTGAGTATGGGTTGGAGTCAGTGTCCTAAATTGCCCTTGTAAATTTATAATTCTTTGATTCTTGTGTTCACTAATCTCCTTCCCATAGCAGAAATTACATTAGTCATATATCACACTCTGCAATGATATTAGTAAAAAACCAAAATAGAGAGAAGGACAGCTTGAAAATAAACATAAGAACAATAAGAAGCCTTTTCCAAGCTATCCGCCTAAACACATGAAAAGGCAAGTAAAAACTATGTGAAGATTTTACACATATCGTTTCTTCCCTTTGCATGTAACTCTTTCATTAATGTCTGGTCAGCTTGGTCTGAAGGGGAGTGCTTAGAACACATAGAGACTGGAACGCTGCTCATTTGGGACTGCTGTTTCATGGAGGAAGCTACTTGGATGGGCCACCCAGGTTGTAATAATAGCAACATCAGACACATGGACTAGCTCCTCCTACAGTTCTACTTTTTACCTGGTGTTTCCTTTCTTCACAAACACTGAACAGGAGCGGCATGGGTGGACTACAGAAAACATATAACATGCATATATAAAATTGATTTTGGGTTCCGTGTAATTTAAAGCAACAGAAACCATTGTGATACACAATAGAAATAATTAAGCATTGAAATAGTCCATCTAAGTGGCCCATGAGAATTTCCATGGAGTCTGTGGTGTTCTCTTAGTTTCAGACAAAGTAGCCATCATAGAGTTAAACTATATTTACCTGCCACTCAAAAAACAAACAAACAAACAAACAAACAATACAAGAACTAAGAAGGGAACAAAAAGACCAGAACACACCCAGTCCAGTAGCCAATACCCAAAGAATTAGGGATTAGCATCAGACAAACAAGCAGAAAAGAATATACTAATTAAGAACTATTAAGGATAAAAAAACATATCCCTGCCTGTATTGTACATAAACAGGGAGTAAACTCTACATTTTTGGGTACTGAGGATGTTATCTACTTTGACAATGAACTATCTGCTGCAAACAACCAAGCCCAGAAAGCACCAAGGATTCCACAGTTCAACCCTGAGCTACAGATATTCTCTTCTATTAAAAGGCTTGGAGTTGAGACCCCCCCTTCTCTCTCTCTCTCTCTCTCTCTCTCTCTCTCTCTCTCTCTCTCTCTCTCTCTCTCACCACACACACATTTTTAAAAAAGTAGATTCTAGTTTCCATAGTGACCAGAGTTAGCAGCTCTCTTCTTTTTTCTCCTTCTGGAAACATCTTAGATTTTTTTTCCTCCTAAGATTCAGTACAGAATAGTAAAGAATGTATAATTTGGTAAGCTATCATAAATTCCATAAATTTTGATTAGAAATTATCTGTTTTTGAAAATCTTTTATTAAAGGTGGAATGTAAGAAAATCACAATCTACTCTGTATGATGGCTTCATTTCATAGCCAATTAACCAGGCTATGGAAGTGGGTCATTACCAGACAGGCTTTTATAAAGAAGACTGCAGTGATGATCTTTTATGCAACTGCATAACTAAATGCATAACTAGATTAGGTGCAAAGTAACTGAACAGTTTACTGTATTCTTCTATTTCCCTTGATCTGTCATGCTGCCATCTAGTGGAACTATTTCTTACATACATACATTTTTCACAATTTTTTATATTTGGGTTAATTGCAACATAGGGAGCAATGTAACCAGTTTTAAATAATCTTTAAATAGAGCTCAACTGCATTTTGGGAAGTAAAGCACTGCTGCTGGGGAAAAAAGCACCTCCATAAATTAGCTAAGCATTTGATGCTGTCAATCACATTTTCCATCTAGAAGGAAAAGTGGAAATATTGTAAGAGATATGAGATTACTATCCAGGGGGAGATAGATTGTGTTTTCTGTAGACATTGAGAAGAAAAAGATTAAGAATATGATAAAATAAGAATCATTTTCATAACTCAAGTAGAACAAATTAGGAGATAGTTTGATTTGGAAGAATATGATACTTAATTTTTTGAAAGCGGAAGATAAAAAAGAATTCAAACTTTAGGTTACATGAAATTAGTACTATCAGCTTTAGAAGCTCCAATACTGCCACCTTCTCATGTGTTGGAAAGTAGGAGAGGGGGTTAGTAGACATAATAGCATTCTTTCTGTTGATCAAGGTCAAGGCAATCTCGCATCTGGAGAAGGAGTGGTCAGGGGGCTGGATCGGGATGGAATGGACATTGATTGGAGCATGTGACCAACTGGGTGGAAAAGGGGATGGTTTTGGGGGGCTTTGATTTATGGGGGAAAACCCGGGCTTTTCAGATTCGGGTTTCCCCAGATGTGCCAGTTTGCCTATTCTAGTAAAGAGAACTTTGGAAAATGCTTGCTTCCATGTCTTTACTTGGAGTGGGGATTTTTCTAGAATGCTGACATTACACTCTCTGACTCTCAAAACATCTTTTCTAACTTCTGAGAGTAGGTCAGGCTTCCTAATATCCTCCTCCTCCTCCTCCTCCTCCTCCTCCTCCTCCTCCTCCTCCTCCTCTCCTTTTTCACCATTTCTATATTATCCCTCTGTGTGATCTGATAGGCACAGATAGATAGATAAATAAATTCTAAAGGTTAACAAATTGAGTGGCCTTTAATATTCATCTGTGGCAGCTTCAGCAAACCACCATTGTAACACACAAACACACACACACACAGCTACAGTCTTCATTTGTTTGAAGCTTTGACTTTAGAAAGACCTTCAAATAATGGATTTGGATTAATTAAGGAGAACACAGCCACACAAACAGCAATCACTGGAACTAATATTATTGCAAAGCCTAGATGTATAGTATAGTCAGCAACTTCAATGTGCCAGGGTCTTGTCTAATTTCATGTCTCTTTTTTTCCAGTTCCTCATAACCAATAATCATTGGCTCAAGACTTCCATAGAATTTCTATCTCTACCTCAGATAAGCCTGAGCTCACCAACATGTTTTCTGTTTATGGCTATATAGCCGTGATGCCGAACCTATGGCACACGTGCCACAGGTGGCACACGGAGCCATATCAGTGGGCACGCAAGCATTGCCCTAGCTCAGCTGCAGCACACATGCGCATATAAGCCAACTGATTTTTGGACCTTCTGGGCCAACCATAAGTTGGCAAATGGACCATTTCCAACCTCCAGAGGGCCTCCAGGGGGGTGGGGAAGGCTGTTTTCACCCTCCCCAGGCTCCCAGAAAGCCTCTGGAGCCTGGGGAGGGTGAAAAATCGCCCTACCAGGCCTACAGTGCCATCGCATGCCAAAAACGGGGGGAGCACTGGGGGGTGTCACTCGTGCATGCGCGGGGAGGCGTATTGACTTGTGGACTTGTGCACATGACAGCCAAAAGGTTAGCCATCACTGGTATATAGGAACTACAATACATACTATCAGTGTTTATCCTATGGCCATAATCCTGGTTTTCATTAATGTGTTAAGATTTTTTAAATATATATATATATTCAAAATTAATTTTTATGCTGAAAATTAAATGTTGGGTCAAAGTGTTCCAAACCAATTTTCTTTTTGCTTCCCCCCCCCCCCATGACCAGAAAGCAATATTCAATCACAAGAGAAGCAATCTGTGTTTGTGATGTTATAGAATAAAAGCAGGTTTTCCACTGCAGTGAAATGTGACCTAGAAGAATAACATTAAAGGGCAGTGTTAGTTGCTTCAGGAGGGTTTGAGTTTGTTTTTTTAAAAATGGTTGCACTAATGTTGCAAATGTTTTTGTAATAAGAATCAGTGTGCTTCTCTTCAGTAAAACAAATTCAACTCTGCTTCTATAAGCTGCAGTAGTTTCCCAGACACAAAAGAGGTACCGTACATTCCTAATACATATATGTTTAATGAATTCAGTTTGTTGGGGGATTAACTGATAGAATGTTTTGACAGAACTTAATTATTCTTAGTGTGATAAAGTAATAAATTAGAGGCAACTGGGAGGATTAGTAAATAAAACATTTATTTTCTATAATTAAGACCTCGCTTACTATTCCAAAAAAAAAATAGGTTACGTTATCTACAGATAGTTGACTAAATTTTCTCTTTTTGCTTGCATGGCCCAGTTTTCTTTTCAGAAAGCTAAAGGGACAAATGCAATTATAGGTAGAACAGACCAATTCAGAGTTTTCATCCAAGGCTTAATTTTATACTGTCATGGTTTCTATAAGATTCCTAAATTGTTGGACAAAAACTTAGCTCTCTTGAGGAGTCCATAATGCTGGGGAAAGTAGCAGGAAAGAGAAGACAACAGTGACCAGCAACAAGATGGATGGACTTGATTGCAGTGGTTGTGAGTACACCTTTCAGAGACCTGAAGGACCTGGTTGGTGACCAATTATTATGCAGATCTACCTGTTTTTTTACGAGAAGAGTCCTCCATTCGTCTAACCGCAATAAAATACTTTATGCCACCAGACTCCAAATTTTGGGCTTAGATCACTTAGAACTACTCCGACTTCAGTCTGACCTAAGCATAGTACATAAAATTATCTGCCACAATGTCCTTCCTGTCAATGACTACTTCAGCTTCAATCACAACAATACACAAGCAAATAACAGATACAAACTTAAGGTAAACCGTTCCAAACTCAATTGCAGAAAATATGACTTCAGTAACAGAGTGGTCAATGCCTGGAATGCACTACCTGACTCTGTAGTTTCTTCCCCAAACCCCCAAAACTTTAACCTTAAACTGTCTACTGTTGACCTTACCCCATTCCTAAGAGGCCTGTAAGGGGCGTGCATAAGTGCACCAGTGTGCCTACCATCCCTGTCCTAATATTCCTTACTTACTCTTTTCATGTATTCAAATTATGTTTATACTTTTACCTGTTATCTTATATATGCTGACAAATAAAATAAACTTATGAAACTTATAAAACTTATAATTAATCAAAGCTCCATATAAGCTATATATATTTTTAGCTTAAAAATCTCAATTCAATACAACCAAGCATGCTTCAATACAATGTGCAGACACTCTTCCAAAATGCTGATGTTCTAGAATGATTTTGCATCAGATGGGCTAAATTGGAAAGAGGAGCATGGGCTACTTCGCAAGACAGTGACGACATAACACAGAAGTTCAATCCTTAGCTACATATATACTCTTCTATTGACACACAATATTTGACTTGGGATCTGACTTTGAATAAAGGGGAACTATCATTTGTTATCATTTGGAAAGTATACTTAGGTTCATACAACCTAAACTTGTATCAGACTTTTTTCACAGCCACATCATATTGCTCATACCGATTGGTCTACAATTAATTACTATTGTGGGACTGTTTTCATAAATATTATTAACAAGACATATATTGTCTATCCCTCCTGTGTACTTAATTTCTGTTTCTTAATGTTTCTATTATAGTATTAAATCACAGTTGCCTTTGTATACTGTGTTAAATGTTCAATAAAGACAAATGCTCTATACATTAATGTATAGACAACAAAGATTTTCTTCATTTGTAATGTGTGTCTAAATTATTTTTGAAGTGCTGCACTGCCCTATTATTTATTTATCTGTTGTTTACTTACTGCCTGGCTCCACAACAACTCTGAGGCTGCCTGGCTCCACAACAACTCTGAAGAGCTTACAATTTTTGTTTTTAAAGAGGAGCGTATAGCAAAAAGGAGAACATCTGTAACACAGAACCAAAAAGAGCAAAAAACGAAATCAAAGGGGTTTAACCTACCATCCTAACTAAAGACCTGGAGGAAAAGTTAGGCCTTGAGCAGTTTATGGAAAGCCAAAAGGTTGGGAACAATACAGATCTCTATTTGGTATTCAATGAAAGCATTTTCAACCCAGTCACCACCAATAACAAATAAGTGCAGTAAACTACATTTTCAAGTCTTTAACGTACACTTGATACAGAAAATATAGTGGTCTAACTACTCTGCTTTTATAATCAGTGTGCTATAATCTCTAGTCATCCAGGTGGATATTGACTTGATGATATTGCATTAGATGACAATAACCCTTTGGTTTATAGACATGGATTATTTGTAACTTTTTCAAGGTGACTGGGTGACTCCTTTATTACGGCAAATTAAGAGAACAAAGAGCTGGAACAAAAGCATGGAAATCTTTTCCTATCAACCTTCAACAGGCCTGTTCCATGCAGACAAGCCATTCTTTGATTTGGTGATGGCATGAATTAAAAGCACATTCATCTTTTGGTAAAGAACATTTTGTCAACATAGATTAAGATTCCATTTTGTCATCCTTACTATAGCCAGTGGGTGAAAAAAGCAAGTGTGTGCAGCCAAAAAGGAAAAATGAGATTGGAATGTAAAAGACTTTATTAGAAGCTAAAGATCAAAATAAGTCTGAATTGTGTAAATGGAATGTGAATGTTGGCTGCATACAGATTGTTTCTTTTTCAGAGAAACTTCTTCCTCCAAGAATGATAAAAGTATCCCCCCCCCCCCCGTATATCAGCCTTTTGCTGTAGGCGCCAGAGATTATTACAATATGCAATTCTGAGGTCATATTGATCTATGGGATACTAGGAATGACTAAGCATGTCTATGGATAGCTAAACATGTCTGTTTCCACTTAATTTTGCAGTACCTATTTTCTGATCTCCTCTAGGTTAAACCTAATGCGTTTAGGTAATTAGCTTGCAAAATACCCTTCTTAGTATGGCACTGATGTTTTTAAAGAGGAAGGACAATCTTGGTAAGTTTTTCTAATAGAAACGTAGGCTTTATGTGTATTATCACAAGTTTTCAGAGACAGATACAGTGTTCTTCTAGCTTCCAATTGCATAGGTTTGTCTCCCAAAGTCCCTGATAAAAAAGTAGTGTCGAGGAAGGAACAAAAAGAATCATAGTATCACGCTGCCCTGTCCCTAGTTTTCTGCAATACCTCAGGTTTTCCACTGGTATTCAAGCAAACTTGAATTAATCCAAACAATATTTGGAAGGGAGAGACTCTGATGACTTACCATATTTTTCAGAGTATAAGATGCGCCTTTCCCCCCTAAAAGGGGGTGAAAATTTAGGTGCGTCTTTTACACCAAATGTAGCCCTGCCCACCCCATGGCCCCCACCCTTTGGCCTCTGCCTCCCAGCAGTTTACCTCCTTGCAGCAAGCAGCAAGAAGAAACAGTTCATTTCAGCTTCAGCACAGCTTAATTAGCACAAGTTGATTGGATCTGCCTCCTGACTCTCAGCTGTTTTGCACGGGCCTCTGCTGGTTGCTGCAAGGAGGTAAATTGCTGGGAGCAGATTTTTTTTTTCTTGTGCTAATCAAGTTATGCTGAAAACAAAAATGAAAGTAAAGCAGGCTATTTGCTGTTTGCTGCAACAAGGCAAAATTGCTGGGAGGCAGAGGCAGATTTCTTTTTCTTGTTTTCCTCACTGAAAAAGGTAGGTGTGTTTTATAGTCCAGAGCATCTTATATTCTGAAAAATACGGTAATCAATCCAATATTTCATTGTAGAGTCCATTTTTAAAGTAGTCAATTACATTTCTTTTTATAACAGCCCTATGGTCTTTCTCCAAGCTCTTACCATATTGGAAGAAAGGGATTTTTGTAGTTGGCGGTGCTTTTCTTGATTGGATCAGAAAAGTTTGGCCTCAGGAATTAAATGTTATGGTGAGATTATGAGCTCTGCTTTGTTAGTTTTGGCAGTAGGAGTAGCTGGTCTTGCTGTTTGCTTTCAAGCCAGCATGGCTATAAATCCCTGGCCTCTCAGAAATGCAAACCTCATTCAAGAATTAGAATTAAAGAATTAGCAGTAAAAAAAAAAAGCTTCAAGAATTTACTATTGCTTAGATACTGAAAAGAAGTTATATACAGAAAAATAAATTAAAACAGGAAAAAATAAGGTTCTTATTGTGGGGATAAATTAAAACAGGGAGTGCTATGTAGACTATCTTCAGCTTCTATATAGAAGACAGAATGAAAATGTTTAACATAGAGCCCTGCCCCCCCTCCCCCCCCACACATCTTATATTCTGTCTTCTGGATAGAAGCTGAAGGTAGTCTACATAACGCTCCCTGTTTTAATTTATCCCCACAATAGCAACTTGATAAAGTAGCTTGTCATAGTTTGGTTATGTCATGAAAGCTGATTCACTCAAAAAATCAATCATGCTGGGAGTGATCATGGAAAAAGGAGAAAGAACTGCCTTAGTACCCCTGGCTGGAAACTATAAAGGATGACACCAGGATGACCATGGCGGATCGGAAGGAGGCAGTGCAAGACAGAAAGACATGGAAAGTGCTGATCCATAGAGTGGCCGAGGGTTGGACATGACTGAATGGCTTACAACAACAATGAAGGTAGTTTGGATTGAGAAAGTATAATTGTCTCAAAGTCATCCAGTGAATATTTATGGCTAAGAGTGAGCTAGAATCTGGGTTTCCCTACTTTTAATCCAACATCATATCCACTTTATTGCACTGGTATTCTTTCATGCATGCTGTCTCTTCCTTTCACTCTGACACAGATTTAAATCTTAAAACTTTTTCTCTTACACTTTTGAGTAAATGGACTCTTGGCTATTGTTTCCCCAACTTTCCGCAGAAATAGCAATAGCAATAGCACTTAGACTTATATACCGCTTCATAGTGCTTTACAGCCCTCTCTAAGCAGTCAGCATTGTTGCCCTCAACAATCTGGGTCCTCATTTTACCACCGAAGGATGAAAGGCTGAGTCAAACTTGAGCCTGTGAGAATCTAACTCCAGTGAGTTAGCCTGCAGTACTGCCTTCTAACCACTGCACCACTACACAGAGAGAGAAAGAGACAGGGAGGGAAAGAGGGAGGGAGAGGGAGAGAGAGGGGGGAAAGGGAGAGGGAGGGAGGGAGGGTGTTAGGTTGGGTGAATGAGGACACAGCAAGCCAGGCAGTGAGTGACAACAGCTCTTTAATGTAGGGTGAGAACCCAGCAACTGACCTGGGGAAACAGCTCCCCTTATATACCTTGCAGCTGTGGTGGTCAGCCAATCAGCTGATGGCTAGTTAATTCAAACTTCCTGCCAAAACCTATATAAGAGAGAGAGAGAGAGAGAGAGAGAGAGAGAGAGAGAGAGAGAGAGAGAGAGAGAGAGAGAATGAATGAATGAATGAATGAATGAATGAATGAATGAATGAATGAATGAATGACAATGACAATAAAGTTCCAAAAGAAGTTTGGAGTCATGTTTACTTGGGGGGGGGGGGGTTGAGGGGGTTGATAAGAGCATGAGATGGTATGGATGTCATAGATAATGGTCTCTGCATTTCTTGTAAGGACTGCTGCAAATGAGAAATCCAACTTAATTACATATTAATTTACAAAGTAATTTGTTACTTTAATTTTAAATGTTATAATTGTAGAGTCTTTGTGTACTGATATTTTATTCTTTATCCATTATATCCATTAGTTTTATAAAAAATAAAAAGAGAAAAATCTGCAATTACCACCTGTAAGATAGGAAAGGAAAAGGAGGAAAGATTCTCTAATTTTCCACACAAGACACAGCTTGGTTCTGTAGTGCTTAAGGCATCAGGTTAGAAACTGGGTGACCTTGACTTCTAGTCCTGCTTTAGATATAAAGATCGCTGGATGACTTTGGGCAAGTCACTTTCTTTCAGAACTAGGAAGCAAGCGGTGGTAAATCCTTGTCAAGAAAACTGCAAGGAGTAGAACAGGCAGTCACCAAGCATCTAAAACTGACTCAAATGCAACTCTTCCCCCCAAAAACACCTCAGTGCATGCAGTGTATGGCTGCTTCTGCTATCAAGAAGGTGAGGGCTGTATTTGGACACTGGCGAGCAGAAAGACAGAAAAGCATACTCGCTCCTACTCATTATTTATTTTTCTAATTTATCTCTTTCCCTAATTATTTCTTTTTTATTTATTTATTTATATGCCGCCCTTCTCCGGAGACTCAGGGCGGCTTACAAGGCATTAAGCAATAGTCTTCATACTTTTGTATATTTTATACAAAGTCAGCTTATTGCCCCCACAAACCTCACAAACCCCACAAATTGTCCTCATTTTACCTACCTTAGAAAGGATGAAAGGCTGAGTCAACCTTGAGCTGGTGAGTTTTGAACTCACAGTAATTGCAGGCAGCTGGAAGCTAAATACTACCTTTAACAGTAGCATTAGTCTTCTGCGCCACTCAGGCTCCTGGAAGATTAAAAAATCTTTCTTCTGGAAGATTAAAAAAAAAGAGGCTAACTAGGGAAGAATTTCAGTGGACTTACATGTCTTTTTGGATATAAGCCCATGCACTATGGAGAAAATTGGAGGAGCCCCAGTTGTGGGGAGGTGAGTGTCTGTCAGAATCTGCCCTTCATTATACAGTCCTTCTCAATTTCTTGACAACATAAAACAAAAGCTTCCAATTCTTAGAACTATTTTACTGTGCTGCAAAAATCAGAACGATCACTAGGTTGGTAGCAAATAATTAAGAGATTTCAGTAGCTCTCTATTTGCCCTATCAAAGCTCCTATATATT